AACAAAAGCTCCCCTTTATTAAAGAAGTTGAAGGCCTTCCCTACAAGCAACTAAAAAAAATCCTATATTTTTCTCTCGGTTAATAACCCCTCTACTGCTAAAGGTTACATTAATGGTGATATCAAGGTAGGCTAACAATATGAAATCAATCACAAGTTCCCACAAGATTTTATAAGATCTCTTAATATCAACAAAAATATTCATAGCCCACAAAGAAGATATTTGCGAATCTTGATTCAATATTTCCAATAAATAGAAGTTCTAGTCTTATCTGATAGAGATTTGATGAGGAAAATTTGACTCTATAAAATTAACAATTTGGATGTCTAAAAATAACCCGTAAGGGTCATAATTATGTATTAATTATTGGTAGATAACATTTCCAAAATGTTCAGCCTCATGGCATGCAGGCAAACAATTGTGGGCAAGGATGCGACATAGTTAGTATCATGCAATGTGTGGGTTCACTTTGGGCTCCCAAAATCTCTATCTCCAATCACAACTCTCACTTCCTAAGCAACATTTGGAAGTCAATTTTGGGCCTTATATTCGCAAATAGACAGCCAAATTAAGGTCATCCAATGCATAGTGATGCATCTTTTGAGAGTCTTCAACTCCCACCATCTAAAAACATGGGACAAAATCCTTTTCATATATACAAACTATTTCCAAGTATGCCATGCATGCCTCTACAAGCCCTGTTTCAATCAAAGTATTCTTAGCTACCTATCTTCAAAGCTTTTTTGACTTGGAGTTTGTCGCTGATTTAATGTTAATAATTTCTCAAGGATGTCTTAGCCCAACATGCGCACAATGATTTCTTGAGAAAATTTGATGGGCACATGATCATCATCAAGTTGGAGGAAAACTTGTTTGGCTTCACATCAGCAAGGCATACCTCAAATAAGAGGGGTGAAATTTCAAACCAATTTGGTATGATCCATTCCACATTATTGAAAATATAAGTAACAATGCATATCAATTGGGCCTTCCCGCTTACATAGAGATCTATTATATGATGAGAGTGAGAACCTCAAGCCATTAGAAGATTGTTTGCTTGATGATGAACAGGAAGAAGCCTTGCCCGAACCCCCCACCCCCACTTGATGACAAAGTTGGTACAAAAAACAATTGGCAGAAGACATGATGCTAAAGAAAATTATCACTTCCATTCATTAAGGCATCAAGATAGCATACTGCATTAGCTGGAAGATCAAAAATACATCTATCATCAAATGGTACAACCAAGAGCACAAGGCTAATATGTTTACTCATTTCTTCATCAATAAAATTTACAAAAGTGAATTTAATCCTCAAAAACAAGTACATGTAATCTAGAGATCCATAAGAAACTAATTTTAATTTATGTGTTTCTTTATATGATGGCCTTAGGCATTCTCAATCTTCTTTTATAAAAATTTACATTATACGTATATTTTAATGTAAAACTTCATTCTTCTTGTTAATATATTCATGCATTTTTAATAATGGGAGTCCTTTCATGTACTTGTAATCCCTTCTTACTTGTAAAAACTATTCCCCTCCACATATATAAAGAGCAGTCATAAATCTTGAGTATGGGTTAGAGTTTGTAATTCACTTTCAAATGAATAAAAACTAGATGATTGAAGCACCAAAAACTTCTTTCTCCCGTAGTCAGCATGATTACAACAATTTCCTTTACAATGGATCCTCCATATGCTCTGATTTCCCTGTTGGCTGCAAGTATCAAGCCATCTTTCGTGAATGCATGCAAACATCCATGGAGGAGTTTTCCCACTCCTTTCTCCAACTCTTCTACCATCTTCCCATGCATCTCTCTTTCTTGGCTGCTTCTTATTCCATATAGAAATTACCCAAAAAGAAAAGGACATGATAATGTACAAGTGAAAAAGGATTTCAATAGGTGTGTTCGGCTAAGACTTAAGTGGAATCCTATCAATTAAGGTCAAGACCCCAAGAGAAGATGAAGGCCTCTCTTGCACAAAGAACAAAATTTTCTACAAGACCCAAATTTGCTTGGTGGTTTCATCAAATGATCTTTATTAATGAACTTCATATGATCAGCTATGTAAAAAATCATTTTATCCCCAAGAAACTATCAAAATCCTTTTCAATCTCTCTTGCACAAGAGCCAAATTCTCTCCTAGACCCAATTCTTGGTGGTTTCATCGAAGGAATTTTACCAACAAAACTCAAGTATTATTGAATCAGTTACCTTCACATGATCTACTACATAAAAATTTATTTCATCCCTTAACAAATACCACAATCCGTTTCAATCTCTTTTACGCAGAAAACAAAATTCTCTCCAAGACACCATTTGGTTGGTGGTTTCATGGAGAATCTTAATCAACAAACCTCAAGTAGACCAAATCAGTTACCATCATATGATCTGCAGCATAAAAACCATTTCATCGCTAAACAAATAGCACAATCCTTTACGCCGTCATTGGTTTGATATGAATGAGTTGACACTTGATAGCTCTAAGCATTAAGAGTCATATAAATCTAATTTGACAAAAAGAAAACTCCTCAGAAAGCAAGAGCTAATAAAAGAAAACTATTATGCCCAGCAGAATTAAGAACTACAATCATTGCTAAATGGTGATAGCAAGCTCCCCCTGCACAGCAAGAATTCCATCCAGCAAATCACATAAACTTATAGTGAATAAAAAAACTCAAAAGAAAATTGAATCACGGTGCATTAATTTACGTTGAGTCGTGAACCCAATCATTTACACGCAGAATAATATCCAGCACGTTATCAATAAACTGATACTAGGAAAGCATTTCCTGGGACTAAAGATAACATGCAGAATACACCAGATTAACGAAATTAAAACTTCATAACCTAAAGATGCATCAGACAGAAGGGAAATTAGAAGGATTTCTTCGGAATTCACAAAAACAAAATATATATGACAAAAATCAAAAGGAACGCAGATGAATATACCCTCCTTCAGCTAAAAAAGTGTTGGATTCGAAATTTTGCGAAATCCTACGAAAGTGCCAAGAAAAGCAACACACTATAAATATTTCACAAGGAAAAGATGGTTAATAAAATTAATTAGTAATTTTCACAAAGCTCCAGAACCGATGAAGCAAATATCCTCAATCCAACTCATAAAGCCAACACGAAGCGTATATTCCCAACATAAAAACCAAAAGCATGATCGGTCCACCGAATTCAACCTCAAACAAAAAAAGAGGCTGAAGAATACAAACCTGCTCTGTGTCACGTCGTAGATCTGGCCTTTGATCGCCATGAGAAGGGGTTTTTTGGGATCGGAACCGTCGTAAGCGATAAGTTCCTCCTCAGTGATCTCGCCGAGCTGAACCGGCGGTGGAAGCGGTTCCACCGGCTCAGCCTCCACCTCCCGCTTTCTCGCCACCGGCGCCGGCTCGAAGTAGGCGGACACCACGTAATAGAACGCAACGGCGACCGCCACGAACGTGAAGAAGGTCGCCGCAGAAAGCCCCGTGTAAGACTTGATCGCGTGCTCGAGCGTCGCCCATAGCTCCTTCACTTCCATCTCGTTCCTCCTCTCTAATCTCTCCCGTCTCAAGTCAAAGCGGCGGAAGGGGAAGAATAGGGTATAAAGAAAGATTCTTGAGGCCGATGATAGAATCGCAATCAGAAAAAGGTTAGGTGCTGTCGTAGTTGTGGGCAAATTATTGCTTCCGGTGTCTCAATTGGTCCGGACATCAATTCAGACGCGTCACATCAGATATTACTAGATATTACTCGGTATTATTAGTTATTGTTCAGTATTACTAGGTATTATTTGGAAATAACGATAAATACCGCTTTGTCAATATCAATACCTAGCAATACCGAGCAATAGGGGTGACAATTCGGGTCAAGGGATTGGGTTCGGGTCGAACCCGGAACTGACCCGGCACTATTGGGTCAACCCAACCCGTTTTTAAAAACAGGTCAGGTTTCTGGACCCGAACCTAACCCGACACGAATGACCCGATGTTGACCCAAAATTACTAGTTTTCGGGTCAAAAATCGGGTCAATATTAAATTTTCAGGTAAAAAACGGGTCAAAATAGGTCAATCTCGAGTTTTCGGGTCAAATATGAGTTTTCGTGTCACTTTCGGGTCAATTTCGAGTTGCTGGGTCAACCTGAACCCGACCCGATTTTTAAAACGGGTTGATTTGTTGAACCCGAACCCGATCCATTTCGGGTTTGGGTGATCGGGTTTGGGTTGACCTGAACCCGGATTTTTTCAGGTCAGGTTCGGGTCATATTTCGGGTCGTGTCAAAAATTAACACCCTTACCGAGCAATACCTAGCAAAACCGACATAATGGTACTTCTCGTTGCCGAGCAATACATAGCAATACTCCGGTCTGCACAAATTAGCCAATATATAACAATACCGGGTCTGGGTCCACGCGATAAAGAGTAAGAGCATGTGGCGACATGTTATTATCGTCCGGATGTAGAGCTAGGTCAGGACACCGGACCTAATAAAAATTCGTGATGTTGGGCGAGAAGTTCGGTCTGCATATCAAGACATTTACGAGATTACCCTTGCCATATTTTATTATTACCTTTTTAGATGGTTTCGCTCGGAGATAAGAAAATACAAACTAGTCGTTTGACGAATGCAGTGTAGGAAAGGAGGCGGGCGGCTAAATAATTTTTGTATAATAAAGGATGTCTTTTTGTCCAAAAATATTAGGGCATCAAGCTAGATTTTTTAAATAATAAAAAATGTTTTTCAGAGTATAATAGGATATTTTTTAAAGAGAAAAATTATAAAACAATCATTTTTGTTTATATTTTTTGAATGGAAAATAGTTGAATTAAATTGCCAGGAATTTTCTTATTTAATCAAATATATATGCTTCTTATTTTCTTTACAAAATATGTTTAAAGTTCCTTTGAGATCAAATTATCCTCTTTATTATATATAGATTATTTATATGAAATCTACCATAAACAAAATTGATTTGAACGAATCTATATTCAAAGCTGATTTGAACTTAGTTGGATGGTGACTTAGGCTTCATTTGGGACGATTTTCTTGTTGTTTCTTAAAGCAGCTTTATGGTGCAAAAATTAAAACTTTTTACTAAAAAGCTGCTTTAAGAAGCAGAAAGATAGTCATTCCAAACGAAACCTTAATATTATTTGAATATAATTCAAACGTAGTTTGAGCATAATTTAAATATAATTCTAATAGTACTCAAAATTAATTTGATCGGGAAATGAAAAAAGGTTCAAATATGGCTCGAATGAATATGGTTCAAAATAGGGTTGTAGGAAAGGCTAAAAAATGGTTTATCTTACGATGGATACAACTAAGTGCAATCTAATAGCTATAATACAACAAATTGTGAGGTTGACATAGTAATGTAACTAGAATAATTATAATATACAAATTATAAATAAATACAATAGAATAAAATCTAATAGCAATAACACAATATAATGCAACTAAACGACAATACATAGCTTGTAACGA